AATCCCGTGTCATGACGACGTCGATACGAGTGCACTCTTTGAGGCACAACGCCAGGAGGAATTAGAACTTATATCTGCGACGTACCCTAACCGAATAACCACGGATTCTCAGGGAGAAATTATTTCCGGTGAGTTCACGGCCTTGCCATACTGCCCTGAGGGAGTTTACATTATTGGAACTGGACTTCACCGCGAGCTACAGTATCCGGAGCTATGTATTTCACATGATGCCAATACTGGCTTCACCTACCTCCTACATAAATTACCTCCCATCTTCTTTCGCTTCTATCTCGGAAAATCCTACCCTGCGGATACGACCTTTAGTTTCACCCTGGAGTCTGTTTGGTTATCCTCGATATCTATTGACTTACTCTCTTGTCGACTAACAGAAGAGATACGCACGTTTAATGGAAATTTCGCCGTGAAGCACTGCTGTGAATTCCTCGGAAATGAGGCAGTGGACTTCCTCTTTAGGAGCTTCTCAGACGCACCCATTTGCATAAACTTATTTGAATATGCGGAACTTGACGAGGCTAGCGCTGATGCCGAAGGTGGAGACAAGATATACCGACTAACGGATTTGCTAGTTGGTCATGAAGAACAGGCCAGGAATCAGGAATTCGCTGATGCCCTTAATGAATGTCCTGTCTGCTTTGATGAGGTGCCTGGCACCCGGTGTATTCGCTTCCGGAAGTGTCGTCATTTTGCCTGTCGTGAATGTGCAGCCGCCAACTTTGCCGAGCAGATTGCGCAGGGTACAAATGCCTGTGAGCCGACTTGCGTTTCATGTGCGGAGCCTGTTCGTCAGCAGGAGGTGAGATTTTGCGTACAACTACACTATACTAAGTGTTGTACTATTTTCGATAAGGTTCCCCTAACGCAAAATCCCTCCACCAACATGACCGCCATAAAAGCAGCAAAGTGGTGAAAAAGGTGCTGTTCTCTGGGATAAGTCCTAGTAAGGATAACTTATATGCTGCTCCGTCTTAAAAGTACATGAGAACAGAAACCCTCTGCAATACAAGACTAATAATGCTAGGTTCATAGTTAAGGTTAAAGATCAGAGTTAAGGCTACTGTTAAGACAATTTAGGGTTTAGATTAGTGTTAACTGCAGTGCTAACTGAAACATTAGGAAATTTTTAGGTCGCACACCATTGCAGTAAGGCGAGTAAGTCAGGAGACAGTTCGGTAGATGTTGTGCAAATCTGCCTCAATTTAAACTCTATCAAAGTACATCATTACTGATGCACCCGCTTCTGGGCATCCGCTGGACGGAGTTGTTTGCTACAATCTAACTGTGACTGAACAGCGTGGAAACCAAAAATACTGAAAACGCCTGTATCACAAAGGACCAGTCTGAGGCTCATTGCAGCATCTGATAGTCAGGAGAAGGTATCTGAGAAAGATATTGGAAAATAGCAGCAGGTTGTCAGGATTTTAGTCAGCGAATTCCAGGCGTTTTGTCACACCTGCAGCATTTTTTCTCTTCATTTGAAATACCAGGCTTATATGATGTCATCGTTCCTCTAGTAGAACTTTTTACTGAACTATTTTTAAAGAACTCACCCAGGCCTCTGCTCTTTATTTCATTTCCTGAAACTAGTATGGGTTAATTTGCTTTTTTGTTGTTTTTCGTGCGGTGAAGTAGTTTATGCAAGCTAACTGCGCAGCATACTCAAAATCCAGTCGCGACAACAACGGAATATGTGTTGTTAATACTTTTCGAAAAGTAACAAGCGCATCAACTGTTTTTTGGTAATTTTGTTAATTAGTGAAGCTCGTTGCGACGCGTATATTCAATTCTAGCTTTAGGATTTAGCTATACCTAACGTAAATTGCTAACATCTGGAAATGTCAAACGTCCTCCTCATCCTCTTCCTATTACTCACCTTTTCTTCGCCCTTCGCCTCCCATTTCTCATCGTTTTAGTTATAAGCACCGCAACTACTATAAGTTCCTATTTTCGCTATTCTTTACAGATTCGCGCTGTCGTGACCGACGAGCAGTACACGTTGTATGAGCAACGCCTCCTCAATCGTACTCTGTCGACCATGCCTGACATGGTCACTTGTCCTAATAGCGACTGCAATAACGAGCATGTCCTGCTAAACGAAAACAGGGATCAAGGCGTCTGCCCATCCTGCCGTTTCCATTTCTGCGCTCGATGCAATGCCGCTTTCCATAACGAAACACCTTGTCAAACGGGACCTCTTGTTGGCCTATCTCCCGATCAAGGTTGTCCCCGCCATCTGGTTTTCGCATATGAGTATATATTTTGTTATAACCTTGCGTCTGCAGTGATCACCTGCGTCGTCAATTGTTATAACTTTTTGTTCCTGTGTCAACACTGCTTATATC